AAATCTTGCGAAAAGCCTTTTAATATTCAACCTTTTTAAACTTCAGTAACATTGATTGTATTTTAATTTTCCACGTGATAATATTTTGTATCCGTCGCCGTAATTTTTATACCATCTTCGAAAAATTGTAATTGAGGATTCCTAATTAAGCTTTATAGTTTCCTTTAGGTCTCCTCGAAATTTCTTCCTACATTTTTTTTTGGCACCTTTTTGTAATTGTAATCGTGTGGCAAATAAATAAATACAAATATATAATTGAGGCAGGCGAACTCAAAAGCGATAAAATATATACGTTGTACCGTTTGCGATATCTGAATAGGGTCATTAAGAACCAATATACACCCTTTAACAGCTGCATCGAATCACAGTACTCAGTGTTTAAGAAGCGAAAAGATATTTATACCTTATGCTTCTAAACCTGGCACCTTTAGCCATAATAAAATACGAAAAAAATGTGAAGAACCTAGACAGCAGTCTCAAAGTACTTTTGCTGGACCTTCAGCAATGTCATTTTAAAAGCCAAAATCTCATTGGTTCTTAATATAACTTACATTTACCGACCACTGACTTTTAAAAAATTACTCAAAACCACCTAGAATTACGGGAACATAGGACGAAAACAAGCATGTTGCCCCATCTTTTTATTGCAGTTTCCAGTGTCAAATTTACGGTTGTCGTCCGTCGTGCCAAGATTGAAAACAATCTGGATAGTACATTCAGTATGCATGATCACTACTCAATTGCCAACACTTTAGCTTTACGTTCACGCTGCTTATCCATTCATTCTTGTTTTGTTTTCTACTAGGTTACAGTAGTTCCACAAATCCATCCTTTCTTTGTTTCCATCCATTTATTACTCTGTATCCATTCTCTTCCGGTACAGAAGAGCGCCACTAACTGTTATTTAAATTCGTAGGATGCACCGTAACATTAGCAGCAGCAAGTGCGTTTTTGGCATACTGTGCTGGGGCAGCATTGACTGGGGCTGCGACTGGGGCAGCAGCAACTGGGACTGCAGCAACTGGGGCAGCAGCAACTGGGGCAGCAGCAGCTGGGGTGACTACGACTGGGGCTGCAGCGGCTGGGGCAGCGGCAACTGGGGCAGCAGCAGCTGGGGTGACTGGGACTGCAGCAGCCACTGGGGCAGCAGTGGCTGGGGTGGCAGCGACTGGGGGAGCAGCAACTGGGGCTGCAGCAGCTGGGGCAGCCGCAACTGGGGCAGCAGCGGCTGGGGTGACAGCAACTGGGACTGCGGTAGCTGGGGCAGCAGTGGCTGGGGCAGCAGCAACTGGGGCAGCAGCAGCTGGGGCGACTGGGACTGCAGCAGCTGGGGCTGCAGCGGCTGGGGCGGCAGCGACTGGGGCAGCAGCAACTGGGGCAGCAGCGGCTGGGGTGACAGCGACTGGGGCAGCAGCAACTGGAGCGGCAGTGGCTGGAGTGACAGCGACTGGGGCAGCAGCAACTGGGGCAGCAGCAACTGGGGCAGCAGCGGCTGGGGTGACAGCAACTGGGACTGCAGTGGCTGGGGTGACAGCGACTGGGGCTGCAGCAGCTGGGGCGGCAGTGGCTGAGGTAACAGTGACTGGGGCAGCAGTAGCTGGGGTGACAGCGACTGGGGCAGCAGCAACTGGAGCTGCAGCGGCTGGGGTGGCAGTGACTGGGGCAGCAGCAGCTGGGGCGGCAGTGGCCGGGGTAACAGCGACTGGGGCAGCAGCAACTGGGGCAGCAGCAGCTGGGGTGACAGTGACTGTGACTGCAGCAGCTGGGGCGGCAGCGGCTGGGGTGACAGCAACTGGGGCAGCAGCAACTGGGGCTGCAGCGGCTGGGGCGGCAGTGACTGGGGCAGCAGCAGCTGGGGTGGCAGCGGCTGGGGTGACAGCGACTGGGGCAGCAGCAACTGGGGCTGCAGCAACTGGGGCTGCTGTGGCTGGGGCGGCAGCGACTGGCGCAGCAGCAACTGGGGCAAAGGTGGCAGGGGTGACAGCGACCGGGATTGCAGCAGCTGGGGGGGCAATAACTGGAACTATAGCTTGTTGTCACCTCTTTATCCGATTTGCCAAATATGCTTATTGGTTCAACAAAGTCAAATCTGAATGTGAGAAGAAACTGAACTCCGTACGAGATAACCTCGACGAATGGGAAAGAAAAGTCAAAGTGATTGAGGATGAATTAAAGGATTCGGCGCAGTAACTTTTGCTTGCATTTTAATTGCTGGCTGGTGCGTGTTTCCTGCGGTCTGTTATTATTACAAGCACTCCTTTGCTCACATTTCTAGTTATATTTTTTAGCTAAGTTTTAAAAGGATATTTTCCATACGTCATGTTTATTACGTTAGCGTTGTTGTTATTGTCCATACTACTTTTCCAAGGTTATACATGACTTGTAACTCTATCACCTGGTTTACGACTTTTTGTAAGTTTTAAGGTCATAAACCCGAAACGTTTGTGTTTTTTAAAAAAATATTTGACACTTGTGGGTATTTCTTTACCGATTATCACCTTATCAGCGATTGAAGTACAAGTGTCACGCATTCCATTCATTTCGGGACCTGGACTATATAGTTTTACGACTTTGATTAGCGTTTACCCCAACCCGAAATCAAAGGCACGCATCCGATACTTAACTTTCATTTGATCTTTGTTTCGATCTTTTACTGAAAACCTGTACATGTTCGTAACTTTTTTAGCTCTTTTTCTCATCCTATGTAGTATTTCATTATATTTGCATAAAAATAAGTATGGATCACAGTATGGTATCTAATGCGCATGTGCATCAGTTGACAGTGTCACTTTATGAATAATAATAATAATAATAATAATAATAATATTAATAATAATAATAACCATTAGAGAGCTAAAAAGACAGCTTTTAAGTCGGGAAGAGTTAGCGGCAAAGCACGGGTGAATCAGAGGTTTGTAATAGGCAGTACTTATAGTGTAAGAGAAAAAGAAGGACTGTGTGGCGGCTGGAAATACACGTGACAGAAAAGACTGCTTCAGAAGCTTGTATCATTTAGTTTTAATCTGTAAATAAATTGCTATTGAGCTCTCGTTTCGTTGTAGTACACGTTTTTTCCAGCGTGTCTGCTCTCTAGTAAGTCCTTCAAAGAGATGATCATCATCTGTCTCTACATCGCAACGTGTCCGAGACTGGTTGTTAGTTAAAATTGATCTCTCTGGGGATATGCAAAATAGTTTTTGGACTTAACCCTCGGGCGTACACGCAAATTCATACCCCCACCGTTGTACAAGGGGGGATTGACCCCCCCCCCCTTAGAGTTTTTGATATGTTGCAGTATTTGGAAACGATTCAGTGGAAAGCCTTTGATCTTCTTAACAAGATGAGGTATATTTAATGGTTGTTTGCACTGCTAGAGGCCTGTGACGTCACCAACAGTGGTGGGAATCGTGGCCTCCATCTTGGATTTTACCAAGAATTAGAAATCAGGTTAAAACCTCGTGAAATGGTGATTTTTTTGTGCCTGTCATGAAAAATAACATTAATCAGCACTTTGTGTGATTGATTGTTGAAAGAAGTTGAAAAAACATGTATTTTCACCCAAATGGCTTAACCACCCGCTACTTATGAGGTCACATCTCGTAACCATAGAAACTGACCATGACTAAACTTGACTCAAAATGCGCGCGAGGGATAAACGGACAGTTACTGAAAACGTTAGGTGCTGATGTTTTACTCTCTAGGAAAAAACTCAGAAAAACCTTGGGGGAGTGAAAAAGGCCTATCAAACTTATTTTTCGGAAAAAAAAAACTCCTCAACCGCGGGGCAATCTTCGCTGTAGAGGTGTCGAAAGAGCCTATGAAAGTGGAAAATCGAGCCTAGAACAGTCTATGAGTGCCGGGTATTACATCAAGTAATAGTACGTATTTCAAAGATTTATAGCTAGGATTCTTTAGAAAAGGAAAAAATGGAATACGACCACCTTATCTCAACTTATTGTAAAGACGTTTTGTTGAATTGCCGTTTTAAAACCATCTGGGCTTGTTTTGCGATCCTGTTTTAACCTTCATTAAAATTTACGAAAGGACTAACGGCCGCAAGACAATCTTTGGCAATACTTTTAAATGGTGCTATTTATTTCTTTTTTAAAATATTTTTCAGTTTGTTTCTTGGGAAACAATAAGGAGTCAAAGGTTTATGAATAACAGTTACGAAACACCTATCAAGCTATCGCAGTAAACTGCAAAAACCTATGAACCGTAGAGCTAATCTCAGTTACGGAAAAAAGAGAAAAAACGAACAGTCAGAACTAAGCAAGAATATCAACGCCTTAGGGATTGCATGCATTTAGGTGAATTTGACTAATGATCGCCTTTTTTGTTGTTAATTAATTTTGCCCAATTTTTCATAAAAAAGTAACTTTCGAGAATTGTCTTTATTTGTTATTTTACTGTTTGTCAATAACATAAATCTGCAGCCACCATAGCTTCTAAATGTTGTCACAGATCCCAGCGACAAAATATCCCATCATCAATTCGTATCATCATGGAGAACTCAACAAAGACTATCTTTTAAGCATTTTTTCCCATTAGTTTTTAATAGTTTTTCATTATTTAACCCACCCTGGCGGTTTAAAATAGCAATAGTGAGCTTAAGCAATAATGACGATGACGGCAACGAGAGCGGCAAAAAAGCAATAGGTTCGGCAAAACCATAATTTTGCACGTGTATCACGCTGTTTTGTATATTCGATCGTTACTGTTGTTGCACGAATACGATGGTGAAACGATCCTAGTTTCACATTTTATTGAGGACATTGACACAAGACAACAGTTTTCCTTTTCCTTTTCTGAACTTAGAGACAGTTATTCGGAGTCAACTCCAGTAAAAGCTCCCAACAATTGACAAAATGAATGACGAAATGGAATAAGAGTAATGAAGTTTGAAATAGCTCGAATTCACTTTTCAACTGACGTTTTCGTTGCCGTTGGCGTTGTGGTTGCTTAAGCTCCCCTTTTCACAAAAAGACACTAATTAATCCTTAATCTTTCCATGGTCTCCAGTATCCCTTCATACGAGCAGTTATCCTCGTTAAACTCTCGGAAGGCTTGTTCTCGGGGGGTACAGCACTCTGTCTGTAGAACTCCACCCTGGTTATCAATGCCTCCACAATATCCGGGAACTGCTTGCTAAGGTCAACTATCTCATATGGATCGGCGGTAATGTTGTAAAGGCCCACATCAATAACTTTTTTGCAACAGTGTCCCTGGAGATAGAAATTGCAACAAAATTGAAAATTTGAATACTTAAAAGAGGTTTCAAAAATGGTTTAGAAAAGCTGCTTTATCTGCCATAACCCAAACTTGTCACAAAATCCAAGACAAAATCAATTGCGACGCAACGACATTTTGTCCCCAGTATTTCTCTTTCATTCCACAGACATAATATTAAAGCTAGGTGGAAACGGACGCATCAACTCCCAACATAGTTGGATCAACTTTGTTGGGAGTTGTTGCGCATGCGTTCGTGTTGTCAGTGTTGTGGAAATGGTGCAACAACTCCCAACATAGTTGGCCCATCACGGGTGTGGGTCTATCACGCGACTTCATTTAGTTACTGTCTCCAAGGAGACCAAGTGTAATGCACGTGCATGGCCCCGACAATGTTGATGGAAGAGCTGTGCAAACGGATCAAGGCTTGGTTTTTATCTCACTCTGCTCAATTTACGAGAAAACAAAGACAAGCTACCATGTTGAAATCAACGAGGTATAGGTATGAAGGGTGCACAATTACCTTTTTTCCTTGTTCAGCTGGAATACTTCCAACCAACTCTGGTGGGATATATCTCTCTCTATCGGTTTGATTTAATATCAGCTTCATGTCTCCAACACGAATTGCTGCCTGTTGGTCGATAATGTTGTGTAGAATTTCCTTTCTTGGCGATGGAGCCCCTTCAGATATACTGCGCCAAATATTAAAGCCATCCAACTGTGGAATAGTTGCGTGGGTGCGTCTTTTTCCAAGAGATCGTTCTATAGTTATTCAGAAGAACAAAATACTGATTAAACTGAAAGAAAGCGAAGCTGAGCGTAAACATAAATCTGCAACCGTCCCGGGTTCGCCCCATGCAAAGAAAATCTAAGACAGTCTTCGATTCCGGATTCCACGCTGTGGATTCCAGGTACCGATTCCTGATTTTTTGTCAGTGGAGCTTGGACTCCAGATTCCGATCCTTAACCGGTTTGACTGTTACCCGGAAAGTCGGATTTGCCAAACTTGGGGAGAGTAATGTAGGATTGGGAAAGTAAACGATATTTGTGATATCAATGACCGATATTTGAGACGCGGAAAAGCGTGATCAGGATCCCCTTTCCAGACCGTATTCAAAACGGAAAACCTGCACACTGAAACTGGACCTTTTGAAACTGCACTGTTAAGGATAAAATCAATGGACAAGATTTAGGGCCTGTTTACATTGAGTGGGGGACCCCGGTCTAGTGGGGTTGGTTTGTTTTCACGCTCTGGGGGACACAAAACAAAAGAAACCTACCCCACTAGACCGGGGTCCCCCAGTCCATGTAAACAGGGTCTTAGTCGTATTGGAGGTGAGAGATTGTAAAAATAGACACCTTTAGATTTTCATTAAAACGAGAACGACTACAAGTAGGAGATTTTCTCAAGCGGATTTTCGGCTCGCAGTTGGTCAGAATTTCCAAAATAAGGTATCTGTGCAAAGATTCTACCAGAATTCGCTGCTTGCCAACTTCATTACTTAACCTAAAATCTATGTGGGTTCAGAATTGCATAATCCGCATAGTTCCATATTGTCCCCAACCTTAGCCAAAGATTCAAAAATACGCAACTGTTAGTTAACAAATTTACCTGCAAGATTAACGAGAGTCGGATACCAGTCAGTTACATGAAGTAGTTCCTTGCACTTGACCCCAGTCTTTTGAAACATCGTTCCATGGACTAGACCAACTCCCCTGACCCCTCCCTCCCACAAGTCTGTTTTCTGTCCCCGGAGGGGCCAGTTGTATCCACCTTTATCAAGATTGCCTCCATTATCAGTAGTTATAATCGTCAAGGTTTCGTTCCATAGACTGAAATCAAAGCAAAAAAGTACGTACAACCTTTTCATAATAAGTGTTGTTTAGGGGACTATGTCAAGCTATCTGCTATCTTTCTAAAAAGCTAAAACAACAAACGAAATTTCAATCACAGAATGAAATTTCACAGAATGAAATTGAATCCTACTAGATGCAAGGAGATGCTAATTAATTTTATGAGTAATCATAATTTTATTGTGAATCCTATGGTAATTGGTAGTAACACAATTGAGATGGCCATGACATATAAGTTACTAGGCGTTTATGTAAGCAATGACCTGAAATGGAACCATCATGTAGAAGTTATAGTGCAAAAGGAAAACAGGAGGCTTTATTCTTTAAGGGTCGTTAAGCAATGTGGTGCACCTCCAGCTTCACTGGCTAAGGTTTATACAACCATTGTTCGTCCTGTTCTAGAATATGCTGCCCCTGTCTGGCAAAATATACCAGATTTTCTATCTTATAAGATTGAGAGCATTCAGAGAAGTTTGGGCATAATTATAATCTTAGATCTGGCATTAGCCGCTCCACGCGTCCTACCTGTAGGACCAAGCGCACGCAAGAGTTTGTCACGCATAAGTATACCTAGTGGCTTGTACAGTTATATTTTCTAGTATTTATTGGACTTATTGTATTATATTTTAGTATTATATGTTTTGTAAATAGCTCTGTAATTCAGCCATTCTGTATATTGCTGCAATGAGTCTTAATAAAAAGTCAGTCAATTTCGCGACGCTATCACTGGTTTCCCCACGAATTGACGTTTGAGGAGCAGTGACGGAAGAAATTCCATACTGATGACGTCATACTGATGACGCGTTACTACCCATGCAAATCTGGGTAGTGCTTCTAATTGGTCGTGCCGCGTGAGAAATTTGCTTGAACCAATCAGAAGCACTTCCCTGATCTGGGTAGTAACACGCCATCAGTATGGAATTTCTTCGCTCGTTTCTCAGAAGTCATTACAGTCATTTAACGGAAAAACCAGTGGTGACGTCGCTAATTGCGGCTGTCTTTTCATTGTTTTCTAATTGAAGACTATGTTCAGGCATCGAGATTGTCTTCTGTCGACTGTTGCTACGGATGGCAAGAATAGACGTGGACTGGAACTTGAAAATGTTGAACCAAATTTTCATGTTTATCTGATGCTATTCCGCCCTAACACCAAACATTACCAGGCCTTTCGAGAACCGGGTCCCTGGTTATAGCCCGGAATGAATTTTGCAGCTTTTTGTTTTCCGCAGAATTGCAAACTTTAGCTCAGTACACTTCGTAAGAGAATGACGATGGCTATCAAGTTTTCCAGCCACTCTGGTTCCTGCGCGCGCAGTAAAACCTTGTCCTTGTAGGCGACTTTGCCTTAGAATGTGAAAAGTCTCTATTAACGAACTTGTACCGTTGACGACTCACCCAGCCTCTTTCATAGCTTCTGTGACGTTTCCTATCGCTTCGTCCATAATGTCGACCATGCCAGCATGAGTTCGCCTCGCCTTGTTGCGAATTCCTCGATACTTCTCTTCGTATTTTAGATCAACGCTTAATGGTCCATGCACACTTTGAAATGGAAGGTATAAAAACAAGGGTTTGGATGTATTGTGCGATAGGATCACTCTTCTTGCTTGCTGTTTAATAGAAAAAGAAACCAAGTCATAAACTGATTTGGAAATGTTCTTTTAACTTGATTTTCGCTTATATTTCGAAGCCAACAGGACGGTTTCTTAGAAACTCCTAAGAGTTTCGTGGGTAAACAAATTACTGACCAGTTTCTATGTGAAATACTTCTGCCATCGAGATTCATCCCCAAGCATTTCTTGATCACCAATACTGGCGCAAAAAGAACAGACGAGTTTGTCAAGGTTTTTTTTATATACAGCTATTTCGAGAACGGTTGTCGGAAAAAATGTGCACGCGACAATCCCGAAACGTTATATGGGATATGTTCAATACACTGTTGCTTTCCTTTAGCACTCGCAGACATACGTCCATGGCATCTCCTGCCATTCATTCAAATTTCTTTGAAAAACAGTGCACTCAAAACCACCCACAATACCTTTCGGAGTTGTCGCGTGCACTTTATCCGACGACCTTTCTCGAAATAGCTGTATATATCAGTAGGGAACTGTAGGGCACGCTATCGTCATATATTTATGCATAAAGACAACCTGAGTACAACGAGCTTGCATTGCGTTCGGTCTGGATGCGAACTCAGACAATAGAGAACTTTAGATTCCAGGACGAGAACGACTACGAGTACGAGATTTAACGAAAAGTTTTTTCGCCTATCCTCAAAAAATAGACACCCCGGAAAGCTTCAGTTTTATTTTTTTTTTTCGTTAGAAAAGATAGCACTGCGGCTATATTGAAGGAGGTTAAGCCCTCTCTTGATCGTAAAATGATAAATCTTCTACCATTTGACAACCTAGTTTTCTGATTGCGACATTCTCGCTAAAACTCGTAGTAGAATGACGACGGCTACCAAGTCTTCCCGCCAAAATGACGCTGGTTCACGCGCGCGCACTACTTAGTATTGAGGAAATTTCGTTCTCGTAGTCGTACTAGCTTTTATAATTCAACTCCAGCTCGTCATAGAATCTAAAGCACTCTAATTGTTTTAGGCCTCGCAAAAATTGAGCCTTACAGCCCTCGCCTTGGAGGGAGATAGGACACTAAACCGGTGACTACGGTCAAATTTTCATGGAGGAAAAGTCATATTATTGGGTTCTACTGTATTTTGGTAATGAGTACTATTTAACAATCTCAGGAGCCCATAACCTGAGGCGAGCAACTTCCATGTACTCGTGTCACGGCGTTTTTATGGACCAGTTTATTTTGAGAACGGTTTTGCTGGGAATTGAGGATATCTTTTAAGTCCCACAAAGCAATCGACAAAACCTACAGACTTAAAAATGATAATTTTTGCCTTTTAATGACGTTGCGTATTCCTTTTGGTATCTTGTTCTTCGAATGTTCATAGACGTGGCGGAGACTCCATTTTCGCAGTAAAAAGTGCCCTACGCAGTAAAAAGTGTCTTAAAATAAACTGGTCCGTAAAAAAGCCTTTGCATAGGCCTAGTATGGGAGTTGCTGTCTCCGAGTTATAAGCTCCTGACAATCTGGAAGTCTGTAAGTACCTCAGCGTACAGCGTTGCCGAATAAACTCCACTCTTATCTCTTACGGGTTTTTTGTTGTCAAGCAAATCAAGGATTCCCTCATTTTCATGGCTGTAGTAATCTTCATATCCACCGTAAAAACCGTAAAAGGAGTCGAAGCCACGATATAACGGGGTGTAAGGCCAACGAAAGAAGCCAAGGTGCCATTTGCCAATAATGTGCGTAGAATATCCTGGAATGAAAAGATAATTTACA